AAGTTTTGTAAACTGCTCTAGCAAATTAATTGAACCCAAAAACGGGGTGGTGGTAACTCCAACTAAAAGCCATTCAGTGTTCCGGCTGAAGTCCAGAGGCCTGTACTGGAGGGGGGCATGGCAGGGGTTTGTTTTGGGGACTGAGTACTTAACTTGTGGGGGATATAGTATCAGAACTGAATTAGAAGACACCTAGCTGGTGTCCATTGCAGAAATTATTGTGGGTAAGGAGAAATCCCTATCAATGGGTCTTCAGTCTGTGTTGATCGGTGTTGTTGAAAGAATATGAAATAACACGTGAATGTTTTTTCCACACTTTCTCATCAGTTTTAGGTATGCTGTCAAGACTCTTTTTCTGTGACTTTCCTCCTGATATCTCTCCTTCTGTACATAATCCCCAGAGTTTTTATTCTTAAACTCTGCTTTCCACTTTCTAGAAATGTGATCTGAATCCAGGTTTCAACTATTACTGACCTACTGACCCACTAGATACCCCTTTCTCTACTAAATTTCAGACTCTATTTCAATGAGCCTACAGGGCATCCCTAACTAAATGCCACCCACTATTGCCTCAGTTGAGCATGTTTTTAAAAAAAAAAAAAAATGGGTGTGGTGGCTTATGCCTGTAATCCCAGCACTTTGGGAGGCTGAGGTGGGCAGATCACCTGAGTTCAGGAGTTTGAGACTAGCCTGGCCAAAATGGTAAAACTCTGTCTCTGTTAAAAATAAAAAAAATTAGGCGGGTGTATTGGCGCACATTTGTAGTCCCAGCTACTGAGGGGGCTGAGGTGGCAGGATCACTTGAACCCACAAGGCAGAGGTTACGGTGAGCTGAGATCACACCATTCCACCGCAGCCTGAGCGACAGAGTGAGACCCTGTCTCAAAAAAAAAAAATTGATTTGGTAAGGAAAATGGCGTTTTATAAACTCAGCCTCCTGAGTAGCTGGGACCACAGGCACACACTGCCCCACCTGGCTAATTTTTGGTAGAGATGGGATTTCATCATATTGCTCACCTGAACTCAAATGATCCACCCGCCTCAGCCTCACAAAGTGTTGGGATTACAGGCATAAGCCACCATGCCTGACCCACAAAACACTTTCTATATATATTTTGTCACTTACTCTGTATATAATAATGTGAGATCATTTCTATTATCCCAATTTAAAGAAAAACCAGCCCAAGATATCACAAGACTCTAGCCTAGAATTAAGATTTTCTATTTCTCTATGCTTTTTTCCTACAAAGAAATCAGAACCATCAAAGCTAATTTGAATAAAAAAATAAATTCACATTTTGAGTAATTATATGTACCAAATACAATGTGAGATGGTTTATTTTTATCATTTAATCCTCACAACCATCCCTCTCCAGTGTGTTACCGTCTTCATTTGGCAGTGACGCTGTTCTAGCACAGAGGTTAGGTAACTTGTTTAAAGTCACAATTAGAAAGTGTTAGGGGCCAGGCACAGCGACTCACACATGTAATCCTAGCACTTTGGGAGGCTGAGGCAAAAGGATTGCTTGAGCCCAGGAGTTTGAGACCAGCCTAGGCAACACAGTGGGACCTCATCTTTACAAAAAATAAGCACTTTGGGAGGCTGAGGTAGGAGGACTGCTGGAGGACATGAGTTTAAGACTGGCCTGGGCAACATAAGAAAACTCTGCCTCCAGAAAAAAAAAAAAAAGTTTCTCTGTAATCCAAACAACATTGCTTTTTTTGAGAGGGAGTCTCGTTCTGCTGCCCAGGCTGGTGTCCAGTGGCTTGATCTTGGCTCACTGCAACCTCCACCTCCTGAGTTCAAGCAATTCTTCTTCGGCCTCAGCCTCCCGAGTAGCTAGAATTATAGGTACTCGCCACCAGGCCCAGCTAATTTTCGTATTTTTAGTAGAGACAGGGTTTCATCATGTTGGCCAGGCTGGTCTTGAACTCCTGGCCTCAGATGATCCACCCACCTCAGCCCCCCAGAGTGCTGGGATTACAGGTGTGAGCCACAGTGCCCAGCCGCTAAACACTTCTAATGATTTCACTTAATAGAAGATACTTAAATCAAATTTTTTTTTTTTTTTATGAGGCGGAGTTTTGCTCGTTACCCAGGCTGGAGTGCAATGGCGCCATCTCGGCTCACCGCAACCTCCGCCTCCTGGGTTCAGGCAATTCTCCTGCCTCAGCCTCCTGAGTAGCTAGGATTACAGGCACGCGCCACCATGCCCAGTTAATTTTTGTATTTTTAGTAGAGACGGGGTTTCACCATGTTGACCAGGATGGTCTCAATCTCTTGACCTTGTGATCCACCCACCTTGGCCTCCCAAAGTGCTGGGATTACAGGCTTGAGCCACCACGCCCGGCTCATCAAATTCTTTGTGGCACAAAATTTGAAAACAAATCCTAGACTTGACGCACAGTACAGTTCAAAGTCCCAAAGTTTCCCATATTAAACATGATAAACGTCTAGCCTTCTGCCTAAATTTTCTTTCTAGATATTACTTTGAAAAAGGACTTAGAAAGCTATTCATTTACTCTCAAGCCCAAGGCTTTACAGATATGGCTAACTAAATCACATGTCAAAGAAATAAACAAACAACTGAGAACTCTGAAGCCTCAGGGAAGAATTCCAAGGTTGCTATTTGGTTGAACCTGCCTGACTTTTCAAAATGCAGTTTTCTGATAAAGTATGAAAAATTCAAATACTCCCCAAAACTGGAGTATGATAGAAATAGTCTGATTTTATTTTATTTTATTTATTTATTTTTTTGAGACAGAATCTCGCCCTGTCGCCCAGGCTGGAAGTACAATGGTGCGATCTTGGCTCACTGCAACTTCCATCTCCCAGGTTCAAGCAATTCTCCTACCTTGGCCTCCTGAGCAGCTGGGATAACAGGTGCTCGCCACCACGCCCAGCTAATTTTTTTTTGTATCTTTAGTAGAGACAGGGTTTCACCTTGTTGGCCAAGCTGGTTTCCAACTCCTGACCTGGTGATCTACCCGCCTCAGCCTCCCAAAGTGTTGGGATTATAGGCGTGAGCCCCTGCACCAGGCTGAAATGGTCTGATCTCATACAGCAATTCTATATTCCATTTTAGAGACTGTATTTCTAAATTTAAAGGAACATGAAAAGCTAGCATCAGAAGGAAAAAAAAGAAATGTATGAAGCTGAATACAGAATAAAAGCATTTAAGAAAGGAACAGGTCTGAATCTTTTTTGTCATAACTTGATATACTGACACTTTTGAAATAAACAGTAGTAAAATTAATCAGGCATGTAAATGTTTAAACAGATTTTTGTTTTGCCAGCTCATCAATTCACAAATTAGTATACATTTCCTAAGAATCTAGTAGACTCCTCCAGATACTGCTGGGATAACTGACAGATGAAAAATACAGGGATTACCTAAATTAGTCTGTAAACTCCATGAAGACAGAACCCATAACCATTTTATTCCCTGCTGTTATCCACAGTGGGAAACGTATAATCTGATATGTAACACTGAGAAGGGACAGAACATATTTTAATAATCTGCTATATTAAGTTGTAAAAGAGCATCAAAAAATCATAGCTATTTTAATATTAAATATCAGGGAAATGTGTGTCCCCATAAGATATACTTATTTTATTTTTGAGATGGAGTCTTGCTCTTTAACCCAGGCTTGAGTGCAGTGGTATAATCTAAGTTCTCTGCAATCTCAGCCTCTCGGGTTCATGCAATTCCCCTGCCTCAGCCCCCTTAGTGAGATTACAGATGCACGCCACCATACTTGGCTAGTTTTTTAATTTTTAGTAAAGAAGGGGTTTCGCCATTTTGGCCAGGCTGGTCTTGAACTCCTGACTTCAAGTGATCCACTACTCTCAGCCTCCCAAAGTGCTGGAATTATAGGCGTAGGCCACAGTGCCTGGGCTCCATAAGATCTAAATGTAGTTATCTAAAATTCATATTTAATGTTTCAGGTTCTCTCAAAAAAAAAAAATCAGGTCTAATGCTTACTTTCCATAATGATCACATAACTGATCGAGAAATAATGAGCTTTGCTAACAAAGTTAGAAGAAAAAACAAAAACATCATTTCAGAAAGAAGAAAAAAGAAATAAACAGATGGGTTCCATGCAGACCAGCCTCTAGGGGAGTAGAGCTGGCTAGCTCTGTGGCTTTTGTCCTCCAAGCCAATTTTGAGAGGGGAAAAAACACTGGAAAAGAAAACATTAAAAATAACATCATGGCATTAGTTACCATGAAGCCAGAAAGTCAGTACTTTTCTGCAAACCTAACACGTACACGGATACATATGGCACATAAATCTGAAATGTATTATGTACAGACACTTTTGGAGGTACTATCTTATTTCTTAACAATCCCTAATATGACAAGCAGGAAAATCCATGTAATGAGAGACAATTTTCAACATCTGTACATAATCTCCCTACTCAACCTCTCCTGAAACAACTGCACATATCAGCAGAGCTAACATTTAAAAATAATACTTTTTTCACTGTTCCTATCACAATCTCCTCCTCCCTCAGATTCTAAAATAACATAGTACAGTTTTTTGTTTTTGAGACAGTCTTGCTCTGTTGTCCAGGCTGGAGTGCAGTGGTAAAATTTTGGCTCACCGCAACCTCCACCACCCAGGTTCAAGGGATTCTCATGCCTCAGCCTCCTAAGTAGCTGTGACTACAGGCATGCACCACCATGCCCAGCTAATTTTTACATTTTTCACAGAGATGGGGTTTCGCCATATTGGCCAGACTGGTCTCCAACTCCTGACCTCAAGTGATCCACCCACCTTGGCCTCCCAAAGTGTTGGGATTATAGGTGTGGGCTACCACACCTGGCCACATAATTACAATTTCTGAACGCTCTTTTCTCACATGCTTATGACTTAATCCCACTTGCAAAATTTCTTTGTAAACTAATCTGCATTAAAACAAAGTCCTTCTATGAATGTATAGCCCTAAAGTGCCCCCAAAACAGTTGTCAGCAAGCAACATACAATAAAACTCACCCTCCTTACTTTATGTTTGGTTCTCTCTCTTCACATGTTGTTCGTGGTTATAGAAGTTCTTCCTCCACCCATTTTCACTCAGTTTATGTCTCTATGCCTGCTCCCCAGAGGAAGATGATAAAAGCTACTCCTGCTTCCCAAAGTGTGGGACAACTGGCTCTGCTCTGTCCCCTTTTCCCGGCCCCTACCAGTGTTCATGGTTGGTCAGTCTTTCTGCTCACAGAGAGAGGAACTTTGAGAAATAAATCTAGTGACTTACCCCAGCAGCAAATCCTAGGTGGATACTTGTGAAAAGGGTAATTGGGAGATATTTTAAAAGATATGTTTCTCCATGTGCCACAACAAACCAACGCCTTAAGCTGGGTTCGTTTTCACTGATCAGAGAAAATAATGTCCACTTTAGTGTTTCTTCACGGTATTGCTGAGAAGGAGTAGAAGATTTCTAAGACTTTACTGGTAATTTCCCTCTGGAGAGGAAAAGGGGTCTGATTGAGAAGGGAAAAAAGAAGGGGATAATTTCTTGTCACTCTCCCTGCTCCTCCCTAGATGCTACTACTGACAAGAGCATATTAAATAAGGACTCTAATGGAAACATGGGCAAAAGAAGAAGCTATCCACTAAAAGCTAAAATAACTAGAATTTCAGCTGGTAGCCAATGGGTTAAAGGTAAAATTCTCAGCTCCTTACCCCCTGGCAGGGGGCAAGGCAGGAAGAAAAAAATGGCTCTTGACTGAGTGGAGGATTGTATGTGACTGAATTTGCTGTTCCCCTTCTTGGTTCTGTTCTCAGAATCACAGACTGCCCCCCTCCCTGATAAGCGGACTCCAGCACCTGGTAGGGGTAAGAGAAGACAAGAGAGAAAAAAAGGGAGACAGAGAAAGATAAAAAACATCAACAGCCATGTTGCCAAACTAACAACTAAATAAATGACATGAAAGAAGGAAATTAACAGCACTAACCAAGATAGAAAGGAATAAACATAAGATTGATAACCTCAAGACAAAATAGGCCTCATCCCCTTTCACACACTAACCAAATAAAAGAGTAACTATTAGAAAAGAAATTTATGATTATTTTTAAAGTTAGAGGTTTACATACTAAAATTTAGGAATTAAATGTTAAATCTGCACGACTGGAATTTCAGACAGTGTTTTATTTCAAAGGAATATCTTAAAAGTATGCTGATAATTGTTTTTAAGAAATCAATTTATTATTATTATTTATGTTTGAGACTGAGTTTCGCTCTTGTTGCCCAGGCTGGAGTGCAATGGTGCAAACTCGGCTCACCACAACCTCCTCCTCCCGGGTTCAAGCGATTCTCCTGCCTCAACCTCCCAAATAGCTGGGATTATAGGCATGCGCCACCACGCCCGGCTAATTTTTACATTTTTTTTAGTAGAGACGGCGTTTCTCCATGTTGGTCAGGCTGATCTCGAACTCCCGACCTCAGGTGATCACCTGCCTCGGCCTCCCAAAGTGCTGGGATTACAGGCGTGAGCCACTACGCCCAGCAAGAAGAAATTATTTATTTATTTATTTATTTATTTTTTTTGAGACGGAGTTTCGCTCTTGTTACCCAGGCTGGAGTGCAATGGCGCGATCTCGGCTCACCGCAACCTCCGCCTCCTGGGTTCAGGCAATTCTCCTGCCTCAGCCTCCTGAGTAGCTGGGATTACAGGCATGCACCACCATGCCCAGCTAATTTTTTGTATTTTCAGTAGAGACGGGGTTTCACCATGTTGACCAGGATGGTCTCGATCTCTTGACCTCGTGATCCACCCGCCTCGGCCTCCCAAAGTGCTGGGATTACAGGCTTGAGCCACCGCGCCCGGCCAGAAGAAATTATTTTTAAAACTAGAAGAAATGACCTTTAAGCTACCCAACATTGTGAAAGGAAAAAAAAAAAAATGAGATTTAAAAACATTTAAATTTCAACGGTTATAGTTAATAATTAGCAACACTCATAAACATAATGAACGTATCAAGCCCACAAAAAAAGAAAAATCTTCACAGTAGGCTACCCATATACTTTCATTACCGATTTAGAGTTCAACTCAACTCCACAAAGATGTGGTAACAATATATGTAACCAATGGGAAAATGACAGCATATTTAAAGAATTTACACAGCAGTTGCATTGAGCACGGTTAGCGTAATAACCCCACTCACAGAATTACCGCCCCATCTCTATTCGCAAACACGCATGGGATAAAAGAGTGGAATTGCAAACGTGTGATCAGAAACATGGATATATTCATAAGATTGAAGTTGTTATCGTCCTGGTGTGTGTGGGGGGGGTGAGGGGAGAGGAGTGTGATATTTACATCATGCTCAAATTTTTAAAAAATCAAAACTAGGCAAGCAATTATGTGGTCACCCCCTTCTCATTCAGAGGGCTGTCAAAAGAAGAGGTGGAAAGACTGTCACACTCCCTACAATTTACACGTAAGGAGGAAAACAGTAGCTGCGGGACCGCACCACAGGATCTGTGAGAAGGGATGAAAGGCGGAGGGGGCCGCCGAACTGCGGGGACAGGTCAGCAGCCGGCGCTCCGGGGTTACCACACCCCCTCGCCGGCGGGGAAACCGGGCTCCTTCCACGGCCGAGGTCGCCGCCCCCTCCACACGGCTCGCCCGGTCTCACGCACACGCCACGGGCCGGCGCCTCCCGGCACACGCGCGAAGGCCGGGCCCCGCCTCGCTCCCCAAACACTCCGAGGCGCGGCGACCGCCGGCCTCCACCAGCCCCGGGCCCGGGCGCGCTCGGCCCGGTCCCCTCCCCGGCCCGGTTCCCTCCCGGCCCAGCCCCCGCTACTCGGGAGATCCGTTCCGCCGAACTCGCCCACCCGGGAGGGCGCGCCCCCGCCCCCGCCCCACTGCTCCACACGCGGGGAGCAGCCACCCCACCGCTCACCTGGCTCGAGGGGGCTCCTCCCTCGCTCTCCGCCGGCGGAGCCGGGCTGGGGCCTCCGGGGAAGCGCGGGCCGCCGGACGGCTGGAAGTGGGGGAAGGAGAGGAGGGGGAGGGGGTCGGGATTCCGGGAGCCGCCTCCTTTCTCCGCCGCCGCCCGCGGCTCCTGCAGCCAGGCCGCGCGTCCTCGCACACTCGCCGGCTTCCTCACAGCCTGGCGCCGGCGGCCTCTCCCTCACCCCACTCCCGCACACTCTCACTCCCACACTCACACCCGGCCGCTCCTCGTTCCCTCACTCGCCTGTCGCGCGCGCGCGACCCCGCTCACACACAGCGCGCGCGACGCCGGCGGAGACCGCCCCGCTCCCCG